CTTGCAAAAAATAATTTCTGTTATTGAAGATACACCATTTCAATTTATTGGGCCTTTTTATATAAAAGTAATAATAAGTACAGTGCTAATAGTACTTTCAGGAAAATTAGCACTCATTCTGGCTTTCAAAGAAAGGTGACTATTAAAAATGATTTAACAAGTAATGTTTTCCAAAAGATATTGCTGAGAGAGTATGTTTGTGGCAACTACTTGTTAAATTTCACATCTGCACAACTATAAAACTTAGAAGCAAATTTTTCTAATCTGCTTGTAATGTTATAAATTGGTTCTGAAGTAATGAAAAAGTGGAAACAGTTACCTTAGTTCCCAAGCTAGTAGAAAGGTATGGTGTTTGATATTTTTAACAAATGGATGGATAAGCTGCTTACTTCACTAGTCTACGTGTCAAAACATTTTAATGCATCACCTTTTAATTACTTTGTAAGAACATATAATTGGCACCTGAAAAATGGAAATTTAATAAGCTCTTTTCAATGAAAAGTTTCTATAATTGCTAATGCAGGTATATTAAAATAAGAAATAAACAATGTACTTTCTGCCATTTAGTCATCTTATCTTTATAACATATCTCTTTTTCAGTTTTGATGACCAAAACCAAACAAACAATCCCCTACCATGTTAGTCAGACTTTTGTCACCATGACTAATACCAGGTGTTTTATCAACTGAAGGAGGAAATATTAATTTTAGCTCATCATTTCAGAGGTTTCAGTTGGCTGGCTCCATTATTATGGGAGAGAGATGAAGCTGAACATCATGACTGGTAGCATATGGTGGACAAAGCAGCTCACCTCATGGGGAATACGAAGCAGAGAGAGACAAGAGGGGCAGGGATAAGACACATTCTTTAAATCATGCCCTGCATCCTAACATTTCCATCTCCTCTCAGGAATCCATCAAATTATGAATTCATCAATGGATTGAACTGTTGATGAAGTCAGAGCTCTCATGATCCAATCACCTATAAGTAGCACCATCAGGTGAGGACCAAGCATTAATACCTGAGCCCAAAGGAGGACACTTCATATCCAAATCACAACACCAACTATTAAAATAAGCTTTAAGTATCGGCCTTTAAATCACTCTTTCAAAAACAATAAAGATTTTTAAAGATAGTGAGGCATATTCACCAATGAGTCATAATATAGGTTTTAATATATCCAAATGCTACAGTCTATTTTTCCTCATACTAGAGTATACAAGAAAATTCTTGGAGATAAACTAATTAAATAAAACCTTTTCAAGGTTTCTTTTGATGATAATATAAAACAAGTTAAGGAAAGAATATTCTGGATTTTCTGAAAGAATATTTTAAACTTTTTTTTTGTAATACTGGGGTTTGAATTCAGGGTTTCTTCCTTGCTAAACCTGAGTTCTACCACTTGAGCCACTCTGCCAGCCCCTGAAAGAATATTTTAAAACAAAGAATTTCCATCAACTTCAGGGCAAAAAATTAGCATCTGTATTTATGAAGATACTAGAATTAAGAAATAGTCACCATTTAGGTTTTAATACATTTGATGTGAACATTAAAAGATCTGGAGTTTGATGATTTTTTTAATTGGTGGTTGATGTTAAAAGGACTATGTACATAATTCAAGTATTAAAAACACTATCATATTTGATTTATAAATGGAAATATCCAATATAAGCAACAGAATTAATGTGTATGGTTAGTGACTGATCTGTAACCTGATAATTAAGGCTTGACTGTTATATTGTTTGAATGAGCTATAAACACAAGGCAAATTATATGAAAACTATTCAAATTGAAAAACCCAAGTTCATACATAAAAGAAAAATATAAGCAAATTTAACATAAAGTGACTTTCCATGTTTTTATAAAGAATTTTATAACCACCAATGTTTTATAAAATGCTATTGACAAATATTTGAGAAAGACCCAAATTTATAATGTATTAATGTATAGAATTGTCTGAAAAATATTTTTCTACTTAGTCAAACAACAGAGTTTTATTATTAGTTGATAGCTTTAGCAGAAATAATTCACCTATATTTACATGTTAGGCAATAAAAATAATCCCACATTCAATATATTCAGAAACAACCAGCTAAAAATGCACTATAGATAAAAATAGCTGACTAAATTAAATAAGTAATTATAATTTTACACATTAAATCCACTTTTATTAATTTTAATAAAACCATAGTTTCTTACTTCGTCACAGAGACTTTGTGTGGGCAGTTTTCATATTGAAACTCTTTTGCATTGGTTTTGAGTTTCAAATATATTTTAAAATGTATATACACATATTATACATTTTTTCAGCCTGTTAGAATTAAATAAGAATAAATTACATATATCTCCATTTCAAATTTTACCTTTTTGTTCCAAATCATGGTGAAGCTAGAAAAAGACTTCTATGTATTACTAATATGATAAAATTATAATAAAAATCAAAATGAAATAATAAAATATGGCAGTGGTTTCTGATAAGAAACTACCAATAAGAATTTACAGAAATACTACTTTTCAAATTTAGTTCATAATCTTTACAAAAGATAAAAACTTAATATCCTATGTATGCAACTGGATCCATAAAAATTATGAACTCTATAGAGATATATTTGTTGATTTTTTTAAGTCATTGTTAATAAGTATGTCATGATTCAAATTCATCTTGCATCTTTTGGAGCACTGGTACCACCAATCAAAATGTCCTTAGGAAGAACATTTAAGGGGAAAAATTGCATTCTACAATTTTATCCTTAAGCCATGAAAATAATATACATTGTTAGAGCTACAAAATGAGCTTTAAGCAATCAGAATAGAAATTTACTGATTTAATTCCTGTCCTTTACATAAAATGAAATATAATCTATATGACAATAAGCTAATTTTATGAGAAAATAGTTTTTAAAAAATCAAATTCCCCAAATGGACATAAATACTTTATGTATAAAAAGAATTTTTATCAAAAAAAGGATAAATGAAAACCTTACGAAAATTTACATAAAGTACCCCTTACTGTTTTATGAGATTTAGAATAAATTTTTATGGAAAATTCTCAGAAGTGTGTGAAAATAACATTTAAATTTCCTAAAATCTTTTCCTTTTCCACACAAGAACACATTAAATGAAAATTCGAAGTTAATAAGTATATATAGCCCATTTATATATATGTTCAGTATAGGTATGTGTATACATATACTAATGTGTATAACATTACTACATAGTTTTGTAAAATATTATGATACAACATTTCATTCTGAAGTAGTTCACATATATGAATACCTTAGAAACGATTAAATTCATTTCCTTCATCTTATGCTGAACTGAAGGACATCTACATGTATTGAATTTTTGAAGTTATTATTGTACATGCAAACAGTGCCATCTTCTGGCAGTTCAAACTATTTGCGTATCTGTGTATAAAATTCATGATTGTGTGTAACTGCCATTTTCTTCTTACCCTAAAATCAATTTCTTAAACCTCTAGAAAACTAAGAGTATTTCTTGGCATTTTTTTCCAAATAGATATAATTTAGAAGGAGACTAAGTCAGGAAGTCTTTCACTAACTAGACACTGAATCTTAGACTAACTATATAAACCAGTTTGGATCTCACTTTTCTCATCTATAAGATTATTTAACTGAGTCATTGATTTACTTTCAATCTAAAATTCTATTTAAGTGTTATGATAATAAGGGACAAACTTAAGAGTTTGGGCATCTCTGTCTACCATAGCACGAACCAAGACCACCCTGTACTGCAGGTTGAAACCTTGGCTTTTATCTGTACTAGTTCATTCTTCCAAATTGTGTGAAATGGGCTAATCACCCAATTATTTGTTTTCCTAACACCTTTAAGTCTCTGTGTGTAAATCACAACCATTTGTGTGAAGAACAATGCTGGTGAGGAGCATGGAGAAAGAAATTGGATGTCCATCACTCCTTCCACTGGGTGTTTGGGTTAAGGCCAGAATTCTGGTATCACTCTGGTTCAGTATGGCTCTCAAGACTGGCCCCACTCCACAGCTAACAAGGCAACAGGATTCTCAGTCCAATAACCACGGGGGCTTGGGAAAGAGCCCCAAACTTCAGCTAAGATCCCACTGCAGACTTTGATTTCAGCCTTGTGTGACTAAGCCGAGTATCCATCTATGTCATGCCCAGACTTCTTTTCCACAGTACTAAGATATATGGGTGTAATTTTCAAGTCACTAATTTGTGGTAATTTGTTATGCAGCAATAGAAAACTCGTAACACACCGAGGCATTTCTTATATATTTAAATATATGGTTTAAATATAGTATTTCTGATAGTAAAATTTATCAGACAGCATTATCAAATAATTTTTCTGCCTACTTTAAGAATAATATTCATAATTGACATGAACGTTAATAGTGCACCTAATATTTCTCACCTAACATGAAGTTATTGACAGAAAATTTCTTCAACGTTGCTGGGCATTCTTGGTGAAGTAACCTTATTCCAGGTTAGCTGCCTAAGGTAGGGGGAAGGCAGGACCCACCTGGACATAACCCATCGCCCCATTCACCTTCTCTAAGATGTGACCCATAGGACAGAAAAGCAGATGACTGTCTCTCAGGAGAAGCCCGCTCCCACACAGACATCAGGCGCTTCTCACGCAGCTCCTCTGGAAATTCCAAAGCATCTGGCAGAAGTTTCTAACATCCACTAGACATCACTGCGGCCATGCCAGGCGCAGTTCACGTAAATTTGAAAATAAAAAATTTGAAACTCAGAGATTGTGCTCCGTGATTGTTCAAATCACAGGCATAGGAAGCAGCGCTCCACCTCAACCTGCCAATAGACACCTGCAGAGCTTGACAACCTGAGCGCGAATGTCCACCCACTGCGCCTGCGCAGACAAGCACCTCCGCGGTGGGCGGGAAGACACCGGGAAGCGCAGGACCCGGCTGCGTGGGGCGGGGCTTAGAGGCGCTTGCGCTTGCGCAGCGGGCCCGGCGGCGCGCTGCGTCGTTATTTTTGAAACGAGTGGCGGGGAAACTGCTGCAGAAGCTGCTGCTGGAGCGGTCTGCCCACAGCAAGCCCCACTATCGTGAGCAGACCTCGCCATGGCGCTGCAGCTCGCTCGGGAGCAAGGAATCACCCTGCGCGGCAGCGCCGAGATCGTGGCCGAGTTCTTCTGTGAGTCCTCGCGTAGGACGCGGTAGGGAGACCCAGGCTCTGGCGGCCGCGTGGGCCCGAGGGTCGGGCTGGGAGACCGGGAAGCCCTGCCCTCCCAGGTACCGGCCCTCTGGAGTAAAGTGGGAGTGGGGTGCGGGCACCTCTCGACCCACTGACGCGCTGCTCAGATTGGGAGGAGAGGCCTGCATGCTGCTGAGGCCAGGCTCATCTTAATCATGCATCGCCTGCAGGAGAGCAGAGAGATCACTGCGTAGCTCTTCTGTGAGACCTCGCGCAGGGTGCTGCTAGGAGATCTGGGCTCTGGCGGCCTACTGGGCCGAGGCTCGTCTTGGAAGTCTGGGAGGCCCTGGCCACCCGGGCTCCGGCTCCCAGGAGGAACCTGGGAGAGAGATGCCAGCTAGTTCTCATTGTTGACATGCTGTTCAAGTGGGAAGGAGAGGCCTGCATGCTGCTGATGCCTGGTTAGCAGGGCTTCCCCTTCTCCTGAGCTGTGGTTTAAAGTGCAGGTCCCCTCCCCCAGTCTTAAGCCTAGTAGGCGTGGCGGTCCCCTGGCATGGATTTTTACCCGGACGCCACCCCACCCGAGCTGTGGAAGATGCTAAGCCCCACCAAGCCCTCTGCATTTTCTGATGGAGCCTGAGGAGATGAGGAGGAATTAGAGGGACAGGCAGTCAATCAGTCAATTGCTAATTCAGAGGAAACAGCCTGATTTTCCTCTGACCACATAATCTCAATTTAGACGGATTTCAAAGAGATGAAATTTGGCAGTGGTAGCTTAATGTGGTTTGACATTTTTCTCTTACTGCCACATACAACCCACTTCGTTTACCTTGGATGCAAAATTTTAAGGATTTTTTCATGCCATTTTACTCTACTTTCAGCAGACATATAAACACTTGTTTAGGCATTTAACATTTTTTGTTACTTCCAGCATTTGGCATCAACAGCATTTTATATCAGCGTGGAATATACCCATCTGAAACCTTTAGTCTAGTGCAGAAATACGGGCTCACCTTGCTTGTCACTACTGATCCTGAGCTCATAAAATATCTCAATAATGTGGTGGAACAACTGAAAGGTAAATAATCACTGGAAAAACTTTGACTTTTGTCTGTTTTCTAGGGTCCACATTTTTAAGCACCTCAAGTGGTCATTTTTCAGATCTTCTTATTGTAGTGAAAAATACCATCTCAAATGCACAGATTCTCAAGGGCCCCAAGGAAGCAAAGACACAGAAATTGAAAGAAAGCTCACCTTCCCCCCAGTGCATTTTAAGTGGACTGAATAGTTTGATGTTGGGAATCTTACATGTCTTAACAAAACAATCGCTTATGATTTCTCTTAGAAATGGCTTTTGCAGCTAATTTGTCCAAATAGAAGAAGTTGGAGTTTTTACACAATTATAATGGTATCCATTATCTGTTTGAGAAAACACACACTGTATATTCTCTTTTTCATATGTACATATGTACACACATATGTAAATGCAAAAATGATACCTGTTGAAACTGTTCCAGGAATCAGGATGGGGGAAAAAGAGCAGTGGAGGGGTGAATTCAAGTATGATATATTCATACATTATAAGAACTTTTGTAAATTCCACAGTGTACCTCCCTCCAGCACAACATTAAAATAAAACAAACAAACAACAACAACTACAAAATACCAGTGTCTGAAATTTCCTAAAGATAACAAGAGGGACCTTATAGAGTTGGTTTGCTTGTGGTAGTTATCTCAAATATTGAAAGTGGTGAGGTCCTTGAAAGATGGCAATTTGACATTGAGTGTGACAAGACTGTAGAATATGAAAGGTATCTTCTTGTTACTTTGGTTTTGTTTTTCAAAACTTACTTTCATTACTACGTGAGTTCTAATTATGCTGAGCTACTTTCATATAAAGTATACTATGTTTCTTAGGTATATTTTGTAAGATGTCCTCAAGGAAAGTTTCCTAGGTTCATGTTACTATATCATTGATTTGTATAGCTTGGATACTGTTAACATAATTACCTTTAATCTAAAACGGTGAATTTTGAGCTTGAATTTATTTGGTGGTATGTGCAAAACAACACATGATGTATTAAATGGACTGTTCAATCAATTATTCAATGATACTTTTAAACTGCAGAGGATGGCTCTAGATCCTGTCCCGACTTGAGACACAGCTCTACTGCACTACATCCTAAGACACCTCACAGTCTTCTGAATGCCAAAAGCCTCCTAAGTGGGGCACATCCATCACTATATTATTAATAATTAGCATTAATTCAGACATTCAGAACCCTTTTACAATGGATTATAGTTCACTTCTAAGCCTTTGATCTATTTTAGGAAATTTTTACCTCATAAAAATAATTTGATGTACAATCTAGCACTTTACTTGAGGCAACAGGGAATCAGACAGTTAGATGTTCTAAAAATGCCAAAGTTATAGAAATAAAATAACTTAGATAGCATTTTTATTTTAAGATATTGAAGCTTTCCTATCTTGGAATGGTTGGCAAATTTTCTAATTGTGTCACATTAAATAACCTGATACTGTGAGCAACCCAAAAAGATCACTGGAAAGACCAATGAAAGGACAAGAGTAGGTATTGTGTCTACTAGGATTTATTTTTTTGCGGTACTGGGGCTTGAACTCAGGGTCTGTATCTTGAGCCACTCCACCAGCCCTTTTTCTATGATGGATTTTTTGAGATAGGGTCTCCTGAACTACTTGCCCTGGCTGGCTTCAAACCGTGATCCTCCTGATCTCTGCCTCCAGAGTCGCTATGATTATAGGCTCGAGCCACTGGCTCCCAGCCATTTATTTTTTAATCTCCTTTTTAAATCATTTTATTTTGGAAACATTTAATCAAATAAGTAAAATAATCTTATGGGCCATTGTGTTTTAAATAATTTGTTAAAACCTGCAATTAATTAATCATTTTGATTTCTTTGATAGTGCTCCCAGAGAAAAGTCCCAGAAAGCTATCCAGGATGAAATCCGTTCAGTGATCAGACAGATCACAGCTACAGTTACATTTCTTCCACTGTTAGAAGTTTCTTGTACGTATTATACAACTTATTAATGTAAATTTTGGGAGCAAAGGAGTAAGCTGCTGCTGTAAGAATTACCTTTTATTGAATCATTTTTTTCAGTACTGTAATACCATGCTAGAAAACTTATAGTTGCTGGAAGAAAGAAAATATCCCACAACACTCATTGTTGAACATTTTCATGTGATTTTATTTTCAGTACTTTTTATTTTCTTTGCATTATTGTAGATATCACTGTCTTCCTTTTCATTCTCACTCTATTCATGAAATATTCACCAAATGTTTCCTATAGGCCAGACACTGTTCTAAACATTAGAATATACCACTGACAGAATGAAGATGTTCGGTTTCTTGTGATACACAATTATATTTTCTTATGTGGTTATATGCTTAATCTGTTCTGAATGGTTTTCTCTTTAAAGAAAAAAAACCATGAATTTCTTAAAAATAAAATTGAATACAGTGTTTTCTCTACAGTAATAAATTTGCATTGTGGAAAATAAATTTGTGTTTAGAGACCCGGCCAAACTGTCTTCTTAAACAATGGACAGACTACCATGTGTCACTTTAGAGAGACAGGAAGGTTATTTTTGATTTTGGTAAATGTTTTATTTTCTTATCCCCAATTAGGTTTTTTTGATCTACTGATTTATACAGACAAAGATTTGGTTGTACCTGAAAGATGGGAAGAGTCTGGACCACAGTTCATTACCAATTCTGAGGAAGTTCGTCTTCATTCATTTACTACCACAATCCACAAAGTGAATAGCATGGTGGCCTACAAAATTCCTGTCAATGACTGAAGGTGAGATCAGGAAAATAACGTAACTGGAATTCTCAAATGTTGTTTTCCTGAAAGTATGTTTTCTTTCATTGGGTCATTTTCAGACCAGGAAAACTAACATTATACTTTGAATGTACATAATTGTTCCACTTTGGGGAGACACGTTTGATTTTCCACAGAGTTAACATAATGAGTTTACTCACATTGTTCAACAGGAACCAGCAGATTTGTCAGTATTGTAATGTGAATTCCATTGAAGGTGGTAATTGTAGATGGAAAATATTTGCTTTAAGCTTGATACGTAATCATTTTTTTCTAGTGTCTGGGCTCAGATTACAGAGATATTTAAATATGAAATACAGCAAAAGAAGTCTTAGTATTCAGAATCTTTACTGAGATTCAGAAAGTAGAGAAATGTTGCTTTATTGGGTCCTTTTGTCACGTTTCATTATGTAGATCCCATTTTGAAAAACTACTGATTATTAGATTTTAATTGATATAATTTGGACCCATGATGCAATCAATATTTATACTGCTTAATTCTGTAATAAAATTGTCACCTTTAAGTGACAATGATGAAATAAAGTGTGTCTTTTAAATGTGTTAAAATACTTTGATATTATTGTGGTATTAATCAGTTAAATAATAAGAATAGATTCAGTATACCAAATGCTATCGTTTGATTATATTGTCTTCATCCGCTAACAATAGACTTATACTGTGCTGCATTTGAAAGGAATATTATCATTTTTAATTAGCTCAATTTAGCATATATTAGATTTTAAGTTTATACTCAGCTTTATGCCAGCTGAGTTTTTCTTACGTTATTAAACATGGTTATTCATTTGCCTTCATTACTACACTTATCAGCTGTATTCTCTCCATTAGTTCTTACCTAAATTTCCAAGATCAATTTAAAACTTCTAAAAACAATTCTAATCTCCATTCTACATTGTACCTTATTTTGTAATTATATCACTTAACACTTATGTTGAAGACCATTCTAAGATCTTCATGCATATTAACTCATTTAAACTTTACTATAATTTAGAGTACATAGCCTGTGCCGATTCATACAAAAATTACATATTTAGCATCTATTAATGTTCATAATACTGTGTGTAAACTGCCAGGAAGAGTGAAGCAACTGGCTTTTCTGAAGCTTGAGACTTTATGAGAGAAAGAACCAGGAAGTAATCAGACAGGTTTATTTAGCTATGTATTTCTTTGTCTTCATTATCTCTGGATAAATCATTATTTGATCCAATTGTGTGATTATTAAGAATAAAGGATAGTTTCTTACTTTTTTCCCCCCAAAATCTAAGTGCTAGACAAACAGATTTCACTATTTAATGATGAATAGAGTAAATGTTATAATAAAATGCTCTTCCCTAAAGAGTAGTTGAAGCTTCCTGAGACCAACAAGTGTGTTTTTCTAATAAGAAAAGTAGTTATGCATTAATGGAACTTTTGTTGGATTAGGCATAATCAAATGTCTAGGATTCATACAACATCAAGGATAGTTATTAAAATGGATACTATTAAGATTAAAATATTCATTTGGCTGGATGCTCAAGTGGTTGAGTGCTTGGAGCTCCGAGTTCATTTTATTATTTTTTATTTATTTATTTTTTCTCTTTTATTTATATGTGCATACAATGTTTGGGTCATTTCTCCCCCCCTTCCCCCCACCCCACCTCTTAACCCCCCCCCGCCCCCTCCCTTTCCCCCTCTGAGTTCATTTTAAACACTGGCACTGCTGCCAAAAACAACCATTCATTTGAATTCTTTGACTGTTTGTAACCTCTATCAGTTGAACTATAAGGTGAAAAGGAAAACAGGTAGGAAAATTGTGCTCTTCTTTTTCAGGAATTATGTTTGAAAATTTTAGCAGAGAGGAGTGAGTTTCAAAAAATACAGAGTGCCTCTTTGCTAATCAGTAGGAATAATTAAATGTGACTCTTCCCTCTCTAAAAAGAACATCAGGAACAGCATTAGGTATTATCTTGCTGATAATACCTAAGTGTTAGTCCTGTGTGCTTTTCATTTAGCACACTAAAATTACACGATTGAAATGGTACTACTTTTGTAATTTAAGAGTTAAGTCCATGAATTGATGCTGTGGGATTTCAATGTTAGATTAAATAGTAGGAGCTGTCACACATTCTGTTGTCTACAACTCATTCTGTAGTACCAGTTCTGCATTAACTGGCCTCTAGCTTGTTAGAAAATAGCAAAAACTGGCTACGGGAAGATTTAATGGAAGACTGATTAGTGCCATCAAGAATCAAATAAAAGGCTGAACTCCTGAGACAAAAAGCAACAAGTTTCTAGGACAAATTTGTGATCTTAGTATCTTTTTGGAATAAATGAACCACTGATGTTTCTCAACTTGATGACTTCAAGAAAAATAACATTGAAAAGCTTTGTTTACACTCTTAACAGTTTGAGATGGAAGACTAAGCTTTGTGTACAATTGCATTTTTTAAGGTTTAACATATACTTGAATCATTTCATCTTAGGTAGTATTGCTAACAGATCTAAATTCTTCTTGAATTTTTATCTTTTTAATGAAACTGTTGCTTCTTGTGAAGTTTCTCACGAGCCAGCCATGATCTTTTGTACTCCTTAAAAATAAACACTTTGGAGTAATGAGCCAAATTATTATCTAAATTGCAAAAGCTTTGCCTAATGCTCCAAGTCGACTTGTGCCTCCTCTTTCTTCTACTTGAGGCTTAATATAGGCGTTAGACATGTAATCCAACAGCTGAAAAAAATGTTACTGACTTCCACACCATGTTAAACTTTGAGCAGCAAACATTCTAGAAGTCTGATAGCTTTTCTGACTCAGTTTTCTTTACTATATGTAGAGGAATGAAAACTTGTTCTATTGTGCCCATCAAGGTCTGAAACAAGCATCCAGAAAGGACTAAGCCACACCTGTTTCAGGATCCTCTTATTGAAAAAGCACTGGAATTTCTGCATACAGAAATATAAATACACCAAGGGGAAAACATGGCCTATTTTTTGCTTGGTACTTTACATAAATATTCCATATAATTCTCTTCCAATAGTGTAGAAGTAGAATTGGAGAGTCAGTGGTCCTGTGAACTGCTGTGCTTCTTGAGGTTTAGGTGTTCTCTTACTTCTGTTCTTAAATAAGGAAGCTCACCTCTTGATTTCCCAACAAGTTCATCAAAAGCAGGTTTCCGCACCATTTCTCCTTACCTTTCATATACATCTAGCAATTGAATGGCTAGAAAAAGTGTTTTTCTTAATGTGCTTTGCAAAATTTGAGCATGTGTTATTGGGTGGCTTGTATTTATGTTTCCCTCAGCTGTCTGTTGTCAGATGACTCTGACCTATGAAAGGGAGAAACCCAAAGACAGAGTTTGATCCTATACCTTGTCTACATTGTCTCAGTAATAAATGGATGTGAATTAGTGAGCCATTGTGAAACATAATTTTTCTAATAATTAGAATTGTTCATTAAGCAAATATAATTTACTTAGAATATTTGGAAAAGTAATTTCTGGTTTAACTTGTAAGTAATAAATTTCCTGTTCATTTTTATTAAATATATGAAATTATAGTTTAAGTTGTGTTTACTATAGTTATAATAAAAATTGTTGGTAAAAATAAAAACATGTAGTGGAAACTGTGTTAGATTTCGTATTGTATTATTTTTATCTTCTAAAATCAGATCTTTAGGGATCGTCCATGCTACATGATTATGGCTTTGAAAACCAGCAATTTTCACTGCTGCTTATTAAAAAAAAAAAAAAACCTAGTTGGGCAAACTACTTTATAGCCATTACAGTTGATAGTTCTGTTCCAGTCTGGCAAGATACATTATAACCCTAGCAACAAGACTATTAGAAAAGACTTGGAAAACTGTCAGAGCTGACCCTCTGATTAAGCATAAGCTGGACTACTAGTACATTTCTATGCAAGGGAAAGATCTCAAGCATCTTTAAAACCTATCTTGATATGTAGATATCCAGTGGGTACCTAGATATGTTTTGAATTTCAGAAATGGCAGTCTCACTGACCAAGTAAATAACCTAGTGACTATTTGTTTTTCCGGATGGTTCTTTGGTTTTGTTGTGGATCCCAGAGCCTCAGGCATGCTAGGCAAGCAGCCTACTTCTCAGCCACATTTTAAAAGGTAGGTAGTTTTAAAGATTGAATCTGTGATGTTCAAAATACTTTGCCTAAAATATAGTTCTTAGGTCACTGTGTACACAGTGTATTTATTAGCCAGTACATATCTGTAAAAACAGGCTTTAGAGTCTAGAATGTCTAGGACTTTAGACTCTAATGCCTAGAAAAGAAAATTCATAATGAATATTTATAATTTCCAGGGTTCCAGGTACCAATGAGGTACCATACATGTTTTCAGCTGGCTGTTTCTGAGTGAGTAGAGGTTAGGATATGTGGGGAATGAGAGACTGGACCAGAGACTATGGCCATGAAAACCAGCATTAGAGCCTGTGCAAAGCCATGAGGGAAAGGAAGTGAATAGCCTCAAAATTTCAGTTTCATGGCAAAAAGTCAGAAGAGTGTGGGGAAAGAAGAAGGATAGGGTCCAAAGTGAAGGTTTTACAACTTTGCTGATGCCTAGAGAGTAGAACCATAAAAACAAGACCATAAAGGAGAGAGAGAGAGAGAGAGAGAGAGAGAATACTTACAGAATGAGCAAGGAGAGGTTTAGACATCAAATTAGTTCTTTGCATGCATTATCTCCATCTTCACACAATCCCAGTAGGGTTTTTATCTCCATGTTCCAAATGTAAGAATTAACATTCAGGAACAAGATCTGCAATCTATCCCCAAGCCTGCATTCCTAAGCCAACATTGTTTTCTACTCTTTCTCATTGCCTGTCAGGGTACTGTAGACAGGGAAGGGTATTTTGGCTTCAGTAGACATAGACTTAGTTTCAAGAAGATTAGAATGTAATATGACTCAGTTGAAGTTTGACAAGTGAGGACATGTCATAATATTTGAGGTTGCATTAACT